AAATCTTGTCATTCTGCTTGCGTCGTGCACTCCTTCAATGATAAACTGTATTACTGACAGCACTAAAACGCTGTATGGTGCCTGTCCTGTCCATTTAAATGATTCAGAGTCAGTGGCGTTGCTTTAAATCTATCGGTGATGTAGAATTAAGATGTTGGTACTGTATTTTGATTTAGCTGAAGAGCAAAGTGAAGAACATGTAAGTCAAAAGACAAAGTCAAATGTAAGCAACAAGAATTTATTAGTTTGCTTCAAACAATGTTACTACTGCAACAGCTGCAATAGATATCAAAATGTTGTGTGATGGAATGGAGGACAAAGGGATTTGCTGCTGGAGGGGAAATAGGCTGGCGAGGTCAGGGTTCATGACAGGAAAGAGTCACAAGCTTAGTTGACGGGGTGAAAAGCACCCCTCTGATGCCACTGCATGTCTCTGATGCGCCGAACCGACTGGATCTGAGGAATCTGGGCTCCAAACTCAGCGTTGTCTTTGTATTCCCCCTTTTCAAACAGGTACTGAAAGCCTCTGTAGCCTGGGTACTGATAGCCCACCCAGCTGGTGCAGCAGACGCACAGAGATGGGAGACACATTAGAGAGTCAGTTAGAGGCGAAGGGGGGGGGGGGGGGGGGGGGGGGTAAGAGACATGGAAGTTATTCGTAGTATTAGACAACATCTGCAGGGAGGATGGACTCACGTGCCACTCTGAACCCGCACTGAGGAGACCTTCTCCTGGTAACCATGCGCGTGAAAGCTGGGGACATCATCATCTATGATTTCTATCTTCTTCCCTGCAAAGCTGGGGTTTTCGAAAAGGACAATCTTGTGCTCCTGGCTGTCCTGAGGGAGGAGAAAAAAAACATTGACCCATTGAATGACTCCTCATTCAGCTTCTCGGATGATCATACGGCTGTATGATGTTGAATATTGTGCTGTCTTACCACTTTAATCGGGCGGAATGCAACAAGGGTGTCACTACGCCTGCTGTTGGTCCAGGAATCCCAGCGAGGATACTCCCCCTTCTCAAACACATACTGCTCCCCCTTACAGTTGGCCTGCTCATATCCCACCCATCTGAGAAGGACAAGGATTGGTGTGTTAATTGTTCTGTAAATGGTAATGGTAAATGGACTTGAGCTTGTGTAGCGTTTTTCTAGTCTTCTGACGACTCAAAGAGCTTTTACACCGCAGGTCACACCTACACATTCACACCCTGATGGTAGAGGATTCTATGTAAAGTAAGACATCAGAAGTAACTAATCCCATTCATAAACATTCATATGACACCGACGAAGCAGCGGGGGGAAATTGGGGTTAAGTGTCTTCCACAAGTACACATCGATAATGTAGCTGCAGGAGCTGGGGATCGAACCTTTTGGTTAGGAGACATCAGACTCTACCAACTCAGCCACTGTCATAAAAGGGGAAAATCTAATCTGCTTGGCATCTCATTTATTTTTCTGGGTACTTTTCCTCCATAAATCCCTCTCTCTGTGTGTCTGGCCCCCGCTCCCTCCTTCTATGCCTCTCTGTATGTTTGTTTTTAAATCATTTTCTGGCTGTCTCTGACCCACACTCACGGTCCACACAGCACCAGTATGGAGCCCACTTTCTCCACGCCTGCTTCCAGGAGGTTGTTGCAGGGACCAGTCAGCTCGTGGCAGCGTCCCTGGAAGTTTTCCTGCTCATAGATAATCAGCTGTGCACCAATGGGAGACAAGAGAAGACGAAAGGTTTTTTTTTTTTTTAACACAGAAAAAACACAGTACGTGGAGGAAATTGAAAGTAGCTAAAGAATGATTGTCTCTGTGTTGCTTTTCCTCTCACCTTAAATGCACTGGTTCCTGGCTGCTGCTGCTTGGATGCAGGGATCTGGTGGTCCGTGGCCATAGTGAATGGGTCAGAAAGACGAAACTGAAAGAAAATACAGAAAAATAGAACTTTTAAAATTGTTTCAGAGAAATATATATGAACTGCTACATGATTTAAAACGTTTTATATCTTTAATATGTGCCGGTGTATTTGCTATTTGTAATTGATTTTCTTTTCTAAGTTTACAAAAGTTGCAAAGTTTCCTTCCTTTTGAAAGCAGTATAACAGTAATGACAGCTTTAGACACAGCTATAGAGATTTAACTTTTAACGACTGCACCAAAGGGAAAATATCCTGATAGAAATACTGATCAAAGATTATAAACTTTACAAAATAGAGCATGGCGGACATAAACCTCTTACCAGTACCTGCCTGTGCCAGTGTGTTTGTGATGGCACGACGGGCTCAATATATACGGGACGCCCAGGGGTGGAAACTCTGCCAACAGTACCCACAGAGTCCAGGCCAACTGCAGATCGGCCTGCCATAGGCCCAGCACACTAAAGTGAGGGGTCACTGTGTAGCCCCCCCTCATCCCATCCTGGGGTGTCACACCCCCGCAAAGTTATTTCATTAGTAGTCAGTTTTTTCCAGCCAGTTATTGTTCCACATCCACATGATTCAGCACAAACAGTGCCAAGAGTCCCACACCTACAATGAGCAGACAGAGAGGGAGAAGGTTTGTAACAGTCAGATTTACTGTGAAACAGAGGGCTGGACTGATTTGAATAACAACACAAATTGTTCACTACTTTCACACATTTTGATGCAGTTTATATTAAATCAATAGAAAAATCAGTTCATGTCAAAATGTGTTGCCTCTGTTGTTCAGCAAAGTATTTTATATTGGCTGAATAAACAAAGAACATATTTCCACTGAACACTAGTCCTATGCTGCTGCATGTGCATGTTCATGAAACAAAGAAACAGAAGTTATTACTTTAGATTTTGTGATTGTGGGAATAAAATGTTTTAGTTTAGTTTATGTTATGCAGTTAGTACTTTATAACTTTGATGCAATGATACCAAAGTTAGCATGTGTTACTGCTGACGACAGACACACCCTAAGGTGGAGATTTTGGGTTTAAGTTTTACATTAATAATGTTAAATTGTGCTCATGATAGTTTCTTATTTAGATGCCATTTGCATCAATAATGGGAGTTTTGAACACTATATGAAGAGTTCATTTGCAAAAGAAGATGACTCAGTTTCAAAAAATGACATAAAACCTTTTTTTATTTATTGTTTATTTCAGGTAATATCACTCAGACTGAAGTTGTGTGGCTTTGACCGAGTTGCCCTGGACTGTTTTTGCACCAGAACAGAAATTGGATCATATAACAGCCCTATTTAAAGTGCTAATCAAAACTGTCAGGACACTGTTTTTCAGAATGGCTGTTATCTGTTTTTGCAAATGAACTCTTCACATGTTTTCACATGAATTAAAGTTTTGGGTGTCTGTCCTTCATGTGGACGTAGAATATGGCAACGACAATAGCAAACAATATTAACACTACATAAACTGTTTATGATGAGTCAAATAAGAACCACTTTTCACTTCACTTTTCACAGGTCATATCCTGAATCTTTTGAATTTAATTTAATCTTTTAAAAGACTGAAAGATGTGCACTTTGGTTTTTTAAATAAAACATATTATTGCAAATCTAGTGACCTTTGAGTGTAAGCCTTTTCTAAAAGTAAACTATTATTGTTATTATTGTTGATCACCATCAACACCTGTAGAGCTCCAGGTTGAAGCTGACCTTAACTAACCTCTTTGCACAAATTACAAACACATTATGTAAAAAGACACACCCCAGTTTTATGTGTTTTTGTAGATGTGCTCTTCAAAAGAAACCTAGATATATCTCGACATGGACAGAGTATATTGAACCAAACTGTAACTAAGTGAAATGTTATCGTGACTGGTTGTTTATCTCTACATGTGGTCCATGTGATTGACCGACTACCAGTCCAGGGTGTACCCCGTCTCTCGCCCAATAACAGCTGGCATCAAGTCCAGCCCCCTACGACCCCAAATGCGATACGCTTTAAAGATAAAAGATGGAAATGAAGTGACACGCAGTGCCATATCTGTATGGAGACAGTAAAGATCTTCAGCATATTTCTTGAACTAACAGCTTTACATCTGAAGTGCTCCTCTCCTGTAGAAAACCTTACTTCTCAATAACTCACAGTCAGTAATTGTTAGAGTAGCTGTTATAGATGCATTCAAAGATTTTCAGTCATTTAGAAAAATAGTAAATATCAGGAATTTTAGCAAATTTAGGTGTATGAATTGGGATCAAAGACGTGCTACTAAAAAAAATAGGTGACTTTTCTTGTAGTATTGTATGTTTTCTGGATTGTATTTCACATAGTTTCAGTTGAATAAACACCAGAGAGATCCTTCTGATAGAGGACTAGTTAGATACTGTTTTTCACAATATTCTGGCCAAGATTTGTGATCAATATCTTGCTGTAGATTATCTTCCTCTTGAGGAGGCTGTCATCTGTTTACCCAGAGCACTGCAGGCCTATCATACTGTTTAGAGGTGCAAAATACAATCCAGCTGTGTATTGTAAACTTCATGTTGACCTGATGCGAGAAGGCTTTATGCTGTATTTAAAAAAGATCATTTAATTTAACACTGAGTCATTAGAATAAATAAAAAAATCCAGATCATCTGTATGTATTGTGGAGCTATAACGTGTGAGCATCTCTGAGAGTACCTCCATATATTATTACAGACAAAGGAGAAAATGTGAAGGAAGGCGAGCACTGTGGGAGGCTGGAGGAGATTTACTGGTATACTCACTCTATTCTCATTCTTCAGTTGACTAAAACTACACACTACAGAGAAAAGTATAAGAATAAAAAGGGTTTTCTTGTTGATATTGTGAAGGGAAGGATTTCTAATTTTTAAAACTATATCAACATCTAATAAACATTGTGTATGTGTGGGTTTGTGTCATCACACAATGTAATCATGTCTGCAGATGGAATCAGAAAACTATTATGTAACCTACCAAATCTACTCGTACTTGACTTTTCAGCGGTAGGTCATATTGTGAGCAGTAATCATGAGGATAGTGACCCATTAAATCCACAGTGATGACTTTGGAAGGGAATGCAGGGCACTCTTTAATAGCAAGCATTCATACAGTATGACATCACTTCCATTGCTGTTGAGCAGATGCTTATCCACATTTTCAATAAATAACTCATGTTCTCCTAAAGCTGCATGAGGCATTTTGGCTTTCTGACTAAGATGGGGAAACAAAAGCAGTTGAAGCAGCACACATGACCTGGCAGTAGAGTCAAATCTAAACACGCTTGCAGTTTATCTTAAGGGGAAAGCTTTGCCAAATGTACATTATTTCCACAAAAATGCAGGTTTTACATCTCTCTTTAATCTTTCAGTGAAAGCAATTTCCACCTTGACTCACAAGTATAACATCACCAACAAACAGGGCCAACTCCAGGTCAAACAACTTTTATTCGCCACTGAAACAAACATGGCACTCCTCACTGAGCACACGCAGCGTTTGCCGTGGTTAGGTGAATGCAGAGAGGGCAGGTACTTTGGGGGGGGGGGGGGGGGTGTACTGTGGGAGGATCCTGCTCAACTGGCTCCAGCTGTGGCAGGAGGGGCAGGAGGTGCTGGTGCAGGGTCAGGGTCTGGTCCTGGTCCTGGTCCTGGGCCAGGGTTGGGAGCTGGAGCAGGGTCGGGGACTGTGAAGCAGCCCCTCTTGTGCCACTGCATGTCCCGCACACGCCGGATAGACTGGATCTGAGGAGCAGGGGCCTCCCAGTCGTTCCAGTGCTTGAAATCTCCTCGCTCGAAGATAAACTGGCGCCCCCTGTATCCGGGGTACATGTAGCCCACCCACCTGGAGGAGGGGAGCAAAGTCAAACTAGGATGCACGTCTCACAATATCTTTAAAAAAAACTGTATTGAGACAAATCTTTTCGCACATTAAACACCGTTGAGGAAAAAGAAAGATGTAGGGAGAATCTTACGTTCCGTTTAGAGCCTTGATACTCGCTACACGATCCTGAAAACCGTGACCCCACAAAGAGGGCACATCATCATCCACAATCTCCATCTTCTTACCAGTGAATCCAGGGTTTTCAAACAGGTGTAGCTTGTGGTCAGCACTGTCCTATAGAGGAGGAAACAGACACATGGATTGTTCCAAGCTCTTCCAAAATATGTCCAGCAGATGCTGAATGCACTGATGAAAGTGTGCAGGGCTCAAAAGCTCATATTGGAAACTGAAAATTATTTTGGCATGTAGAGCTATTTTTATACCCTGGAGTATACTTTTTTTATAATCTCTTTTTGCTTTTCTCAATCTCATGACTATGACTTTACTCTGTGGCTATATTGGCTGTACTACATTCATGCAAATGGCGCTGCAAGTTCATCTTGTTTGCAGTGTCAGGTTTTCGCATTCAAACCAGTCACCCACCACTTTGAGAGGTTTGAGAGACAAGAGAGAGTAGCTGTTCTGACTGTTGGTCCAGGTGTCCCAGCGTGGATATTCCCCCTTCTCCAGAATAAACTGCTCCCCTGTGAAACCGTGCCGGTCATAACCCGCCCAGCTGAGAGAGAGAGAGAGAGAGAGAGAGAAAAAAACAAGGAGAACACAGGCGGAAATATGAGGGAAAAGAGCTTCTTGTAACGTGCAAATTTCAGAGAGTGAATTGGGCGTTACTCACGGTCCAGACTCCACTATCACAGATCCGACTTTATCCAGTCCCTTCTCCAACACATCTTTACACTCTGCGGTAAACTCCGCCTTGCAACCCTGGAAGTTCTCGAACTCAAACACTACCACCTGGATCACAGAGAGGGGGACATAAAGGAGATATCATATTCTTCAGCAGGATACATAAAGTGAAAATACAGACACAAAAGAGCAATGAAACCTGACCATAGAATAAATCAAAATACTGCAGAAACTTACAAAACCTTAGTTTTCTGTTCACCAGGACTGCTCCAGGTGTGAATGCATGTGCATGTGGTGTTCATGTGAGACTGGGAGTAACCCTTCTCTGCATATCGGTGGTGGTTCACGTACCTTGTATGTGGCTCCAGCTCCACCCTGGCTCTTGCCTGCTGCCAGCTGCTCCGGGGCACTCTGCTGCTCTGACATCCTCCCGATCCACTGCTCCTCCACTTCATGGCAGCAGCACACACAGATAGAACAGCATCCATCATGCATGCAGGTGTGGTTCAAGCACACATGGGGAGAGATAGGTGCAAAAGAGGGGAGAGGGGGGGGAAGCTCAATGTCACTTTTACAATTAATATCTCATCCCTAAATGAAGAATTTTTTAAATGTTACTGTAACATCAGTAGCAATAGTTGCTTACGGATTCTGTACAATTTTATTTTCCATTCACTAAATATGATGGAAAAAAAATACAACTTTTCACTTTAACTCTAAACTCATGTGTTTTATCACACGCCAATGAAATTATACAAAAATCCTCCAAACCTGTGTCTTCAACTGCTGCCGCACCTTCTAACTCCATTGCATCTGTGTTATTACACGTGGTTACTGATGTGTCCAGAGTGAGGACTTTACCTGGGTTTTGCCTGCTAAGAAGTGGTAGAGTCCCTCTGGTTCACTGCCACTTGGTGTTTGGTGGGGTCGAGCCATTAGAGGGCAGGGACAGGGGGGTATTTATGGTTTATTTCTGGCCACAACAGCAGAAAACGTCGAGCTGTTGATACAGCAAGTCTGTCGCTCACATTGTGTCCGTAACTCTGCCTCTCAATAGGCAGCTGTGTTGGCACACGCTGCCCTGCCTGTCCGCCCTGCTGCCAGCGAGCACTGTGTGCGGGCACGGGGAGAGGGAGCCAAGAGGATTCAGCAAACAGCCCCGCTCAGCACAAACATACACAGACTCACACTCCCGCAGACTATACCCAGTCTCAACCACAGAACAGTTCCTCACAGCTATCTCGCATATATAGTTAAAATAATCAGCTAGAACAAAAGCTGTGTGAAGCAAAATTTCAGCAGAAGAATCTGTAAAATTCCCAGATTTTATTTTTTTACATGCCTTGCTTGACTGTTACAACTTTTAGCAAGTCATTTAATTTGAAAAAAGGACTCAGAGCTTGATTTAGGCTTTCCTTGAAGAGCACTAAAGAGCATCTAATAAACACACAGGAAATGGAGAAAATTTATGATTTGTCAACACAATTAAACTTTGCCAAAGAAATTCGAGACAGACGTGTAGTTCATTTTAATAAGAATTTATTTTTCGCTTTAGGACACTGGCCAGAACAACACAGTGCAATATACATCTTTACTTTCAAATAAAAAAAAAAGACCAAGGGCATAAAAAATAAACCCTCAACTTGAATGACAAAAGCAAAACATCATGTACATATAAACCGGGGACAATCAATCCATTAACACATTCACTTGCATTGCATGAGCACTCCCTCTATACAGGAGACGAGACGCGGCCGACAAGATGGGGCAGAGGTCAGTACTGAAGTGCATCAAGTTACAAAGTGCTTTAGAGAAGAGCCGAGTGAGAGGGAGATGGCCAACAGGAAGATTACAGAGAAGCTGGTGCAAATGTTTCAATGTTTTTGGAGTGTTTTTAGAGATTAGAGTCATATTAACAATGTAGCAAACAAACCATCCATACAGTGGAAGTGTGAGCCAAGGCCCTGACACTCTGAGCCGGTCAGTTGGAGCAGTGCCCGGTTTGACAGCAAAGATTGTGCATGCACATGAAGGGAACACAAAAGAGGGGGATTGCACATTTGTTTGAAAAAACATAATGATTGAGGAGTGTGTGAGGCCTACCAAGTGAAAGTATGGCTTCTAATGAAAACTTCCAGCTACATAATTCTACCTATCATTCAATGAGACAGGCTGATTAGTGTTTTTATAAAAGATCTGAAAGAGTTTTTGTGCTGATAAAGAGTGTGCATGATTGACAGTTGCAAAGTCGCTTGGCCAAAAGTCCTCTGTTCCTCGTCCAGAACAACAAAACGATATTCAAACAAAAAGATATAGAACACGCTGCTGTGACACCGCTAAAGTCGTGGAGTGTATGAAGGTAAACCTTTCAAAACTAGCTCTCTGTCTGATTTAAATCAATGATAATACAAATATAACATCTCCTGATTACAGATATAACATGATGTACGCTTTTGCTGACGATCAAGCCAGCAGTGATTTGTTCTCTATGTTCAAGAAGGAAAATAGTTAGTGTCTGAAATGTTATCCTATGGCAATGCTTGTGTAACTCCCATCAACAACTCCCACTGTCTGCTAAGACGCAAACGTCTGGCGCCCACGACTTGTAGTGATGCTAAATACAGACATATTGTAAGGGCTGGATTTTACTCCAGCATGTGAGGAAGCACGTCCAGGATAAAGAGGCATCATGGTCCCACAAGTAAACCTTTTCCTGAAATGTGTCCTGACAGGAAGTGACTGCTCTGTCTCACACTTCTCCTGGTCCCAATAAAGTGTTTGTGTGAAGTTCCTCCTGGTGCAGGAGAGCGTCCACGGCTTCAAGCATGAAATGGATAAAGCGCAGCAGCTTTGATGTTTTTCTGCCTCCTTGCTTGTTTGTTTTCCCATAAGATAAAGACTCTCCATAAAAAAAGGCACCATGCACATGTATCCACCCAGACGGGAGGAGAACAAAAATCAAAAAAAGAAAAATATACATCAGCAGCTGTTGATCCACCTCTCCTCTTCTGTGGGTCAAACATTAAGGCTTCTGTTTCATAGATTCATCTGTTAAGGCAACCTTAAGGGGGGAAATGAGAGGAGAACAGCTGTCAGAAATGCAAATGCATACAAGCTGCTCTGGTCTGTGTTGTTCTTGTTTTTCCACACACACTAAGCGATGATCTCACCTCATTACTTACTTAGCTCTCATTTTCATACTGACTCAAGCGCTTCTTGGACTTCAGCTCTTTTAACCACTGGGGTGATTCCTCCTCACTGAACAGATGAGAGGACAGACAACATTGCTACGCTGAAATTGAGTGCAGGGACAAACAGGAACATTATGTGCTAAAAATGTCCTGTTTCCCAAGAAAATCACACCCTGTCCACATTGTGTATTTCATAGTTTACGCTACTGCAGCTCCTCTAAATAGGACACACTTTGAATGCAGTGTGCATACGACTGGGACGTCCTTCTTTTTCATAGCATTGCACCATTCATTTTGATCCTCTTGTTCACACTGTCTGTCTTACTCAATGTAAATTAAGAGTTTAAAACTCATAAACAATAATAAAAAAATGTTTTCTCCTAAGACTTTCCAAGTTTACTCATTTTGATAGCAGACCCTTAATGTAAATTTTATCACTCTTCATGGATCCATTATATGGAACATTTATTCTCTAGGAAATTCTTCCTTTGAAAAAAAGTGGCTCTTTGTTTGGCTCAGTATATGTGACAAATATTCCCCTGTGGAGAGGAATGTTGGTCAAAATACCCAAAAAGCATGCTAGCTTTCACACTAGAAAATGAAAAATATGTAATCAGACATTCTGGTATTATCGGCCCATTATATTTACCATACATTGTTTTAGAACATACTTTATCTTTTCTAGCATACAAAGGAGGTATGGACACTTAAAACACTTCTCTGTAAGCCATGATGCATACCCATTTTCTTTTCCACCAGGTGGGGGCAGTACCCGAGCCGCCCTGGGGAGGAATGGGGACTTCGGAGAGCGAGAAACCTGGGGAGGAGAAGGAGCAGGTCCATCTGTTTGATTGTCAGAGTCGCATCTTTTCCTCAGCTGGGCCTGAAGAAGGAGAGGGGCACATTAAGAAAGACTAAAATACAGTACTGTACAGCACAATGAGCTGCAACAACACTGATTAAAACACACATGTTTTGTGAAGAATCAGTTAGGCTCACCTTTAAAACTGAAGGGTCCATCCCAGGGAACATGGCGATCCTCTGAGGCTGAGAGGCGATGGCAGAGGTGGCGTCAGCTCTTCTGGTCGGCTCCTCAGAGTCTGATTCCTCGTCTTTCACCTCCACCTTTGGCTCTGCCACAGGAGGACACACATTACTGTCATATGCCAAGATACATTGTCATCACTTCAGACAGATAATCGATGGGGTTTAGATACACCTTTTGTCCTCCATTTCTAAGATCATTACATTTAGACAGAATCTCTTTCAAACACTTCTTTGGTTTACACAGAACAAGAGCTCTTCTAAATATGAAGGGGTTGCCTGCCTCTTAACGGGTTCATTGCTAACCTGTGGAGTCTCGGTAAAGCCAGTCCTCTGCCGGTGCAGCACTCTGAGGGGACGTTCTGGTGGGACGTGACCGTGGGGCTCGTTTCTTCCCCAGGTGGGCTCTGGAGCGGAGAGCACTGGTGTCCAGCAGAGCGACTGGGGCCTGGAAATTCAAACATGCAGAGGCAAAAACACATCAGCCAAGATGTAAACATGAAGGTATAATTGAGGGCAGAAGTGACAATGCAGCCATTGTGCACATTTGTTTATAAACTGTGAAAAGAACCAGTTATTTAACAGTTTTGATGATGCAAAGTTGACAGAACTGAGTTGTGGTTCACTCAGCCGACACTTACATCTGGAAAGGAAAACGGCTGGCTCTCTGCAGAGGATGAAGGAGGGAGGCTGTCCACAGCGTCAGTATCATAGAGTGGGGAGGGATCTCCTGGTGTGTCGGGGGGCGTGGGCTTCCTTGGTGAAGGGCTTAGAGTGCTCTCTGAACTGGGCGTGGCTGGAGTGAGACTGAAAAAGAGGAAAGAGAGATTTGTGAACACCTCTTCAGAGTGTTGTTGTTGTAACCACAGCTTTAATCAGATCCTGAGTCATATATTCCTTAAGTTTTTGTTGAGACTGGGATGCCATGATTAACATGAGAAATAAACTACAAGATTCTTACAGTAACTATAACTGGATAAACAATTATTACCATCCATTCTTATCAGTGTTAGTGAATTGTGTGATACTATTTTCTGACCACAGGGGGTCACTGACAGATTGTACTGTAACCTCGGACAGAGAGCTGCAATCTGTCCATTTAGCCAGTGTTATTTAAACTATTTATCACAATCAACACTTTACAAAAAGGTACTGAAAACTAGAGATGAACCAATCCACTTTTTTTCAGTTCCGATCCGATTCTGATACATATGTACAGATATTTTTTTTAATCTTAATTAATAGTGTTATTGTTGTTGGCATTATATGTGAGGCTACACAAAGCTGTAGTAAACCTGTCATTGCATTGTCCTGGCTTCCCAAACAAACAGGAAGCAGCAACAACTGTAAGGTTTTCAAATTAAATGTTTAAAACTTAAGTGTAAGAATTGTACTATTGATCACATAGAAGGAGCTGATCACGATTTGTGGGCACTTCTTGCAGTTCAGTCTGAATGCCTTCAAGGTGGGACTGTGTGAGTTGAGAAGGTTGAAAGTTCTTTCTTGATCTTTGTCAAGATATGTAAATATCGGACCAGAGTATCCGCTTGTCATTGACTTCAATTGTGCATTAGATCGGATCGGTCCCATCTCTACTAAAAACCACCAGTAGTCATAAATGTATCTGGTTACAACATCAGCTCTCTGTGGCGTAGAGGTATCACCATTTTTAGTCTGCGGATCCATG